TATAATGCATATTTTAAAGATGACGATCTGTTAATTCGCAATTAGTATGTACGGGTGTTGTATTTATACGATAAATACTTACTTTAAAAATTTTAAATTCCGCTGCGTACAGCCCGTACGGTACTAACGAACCCAACAGTATGATGATCAAATGATATAATAATACAAAAGTTGAGGATGTAATCATATGTTTTTGTAGTTGTAGGATTGTTAGACAAATAAGCTAAATAAATGTCCTTCAAAGTAAATACAATTAACATTTTATAATTAATTTAAGTTTAAATTTAAAGTAAGGATATAATAGGTTTTTTGCCATGTACGAGGTGTACGAGCCATGTACGAGGCAATACATGTACGAGGAAAATTCTTTTTTGCCTCGTACATTGAATATGTGGTTGATATTCAATTTTGAATCAATCTAATGGTTAATAAGGAGGGTATCTGATGTTATGCACGTACGAGGGGTACCTGACCCTAGAAGATCCCTAGTTACTTAGGTCCATGGAAACTTTTAGAAATTGTTAATGTAAATTTTAGTTACTTAGTTTTTCTTTTATATTTGTTTTTCAATTGTAATGGCAATATTACACTCGACTCACATTTATTTTTTTAACTAATGATGACTTGTTATTGCCTTTGTTTATATAACGTGAACTTATTTATTAAGAGATATTTTATTTTATTATTATTTATACTTTTATTATATTTTAAATTACTTTAATAAATATTTAAAATGTTAATTATTTTAACTTCCTAGATAATGATAAATTCAACATAAATAAAAGGGGTAAATTGCAATTTTGGTACCCAAACTAAAGGTCATTTCGGAATCAGTACCCGTTTTGAAACTTGTGCGAAATCAGTACCCAAAGTTTTATTCCGTTAGCAGCGTTACTACCCGACCGTCAATTGTCCGTTAGTCGTTAACGAGACTGTCTAACATCGCAGTTAGGGTTAGATTTACCTTATTTTCTTCCCCAATTTTGTATCTCATAAAATAAACCCTACCTTTTAATTTCATTCATGAAAAATGATGATCGATCCAACATGTTTTGAAGCCCGATTTTTAATTTTCCAACTCAATTCCTCTAATTGATGTTCGATTTCTTCAATTTCCAGCACGTTTCCTCAAATTGCAGTCCGACTCTTGAAATCCTAGCTCTGGTTCCTCAAATTTCCAGCTCGTTTACTTCAATTGCCGCTCGTGTTCTTCAAGTGCCACTCGATTCTTCAAGTCCCTCGCGATTATTCAACTTCCAGATCGACTCTATGGCGAAAAGAGATCGAGCAGATATGAAAGGAACTCCAACCTATGGTATGTTCTATGTTTTAGTTCAAACGGCTCGATTTTGCTTTAAATTGATTGAAAATAGGGTTTTAATTTTTTTTTTAAACCCAGATGATGATACAATGTTTACTTTGAAAATTTTTCATGGAGGAGAGATGATTGAAAGTTTGTCAAGGTATTACAGAGGGGGTATTGTAGATTATTTTGATGGTGTTGATGGGGGACAAGTTGGGTCTTATTGAAATGAATGATTTTGCCAAATAATTAGGTTATGAGGAGAAAAATATTAGGTTTTGGCATCAATATGGTCATTCATTGTATATGGGAGCAAAAGTCATGGTTAATGATTCTGATGTGCTTGATATTTTGAAGTTTATTCGTGCTGATAGAGAGGCTCTCATTTACATTGAACATTTAAACCATCCACAACCTATTGAGCCATCTAGTTTGCCTTCTAATTTGCATGAAGATGAAGAACCTGTACTTGATTTTTCCTTTCTTGATGACACTCACATAGCAACACCAGTAACAGCCGGCCACATTGATCCTAATGTAGAAGATAATAGTGATTGTCATAGTGACAGTGATGGTAGTGATGTTTTGATTGATACTGATTATGATATGCTGGAGGATGATAAGTTGTATGACAAATATGTCGATCATGATGTTGAGTTTGTTGGTTTAGGTAAGAGTTCTGACCCTCTGGATAACATTTTAGGAGATGAAGTTAGTAGTATATTAGAAGGGGACACATTAGAACCAGTTAATAGTAGTGATGAGCTTGAGAGTTTGGTTGGTTCAGATGAAGATGACTTGTGCATGCCAAAATACCCTAAGTACAACCCTGCTACTGAGAGTAGAAAGCCAGTCCTTAAATTAGGATTGATTTTTAGTAGCAAAGCTGAGGCAAAGTCTGCCATTGAGACTTACTGCTTTAAGGGTGGGAAGTCTATTTTCTTTGATAGGAATGATAGCAGAAGGCTTAGGGCAAGGTGCAAGACTGATGGTTGTGAATGGAAAGCATATGTTGCTCCAATGCAACATGGCAGTACTTGGCAAGTTAAGGTATTCAATGATGAACATACTAACTGTGCTTGGAGCTATAATAATTCTTCAATAAAGTCATCTTGGGTGGGAAAACATTTTATGAAAGAAGTAAAAAAAAAAAATCCTAAGATACAAACTACAGGCTTTAGGGAACATGTGTGTTCTAAATTGAAGGCAAACATCTCCAAACATCAAGCTTATAGGGCCAGAATTGCTGCTAGACAACTTCTTGAGGGTGATGTGAAAGAACAGTATAGTAAGTTGAGGGATTATTGTGCAGAGTTACTGAGGTCTAATCCTGGGTCAACTGTGGTCCTAAAATTAATTGAAATTGAGGGTGTGGTCAATCAGTTTCAGAGGTTTTATGTGTGTATTAAAGCTTGTAAGGAGGGTTTTAAAGCTTGTAGAAAGGTAGTTGGGGTTGATGGGTGTTTTTTGAAGGGGTGCTATGGGGGTCAGTTGTTGACTGCTTGTGGGATTGATCCCAACAACAACATGTTCCCCATAGCTTGGGCAGTTGTAGAAGCTGAGACCAAAGATTCTTGGCTTTGGTTTTTATCTCTGTTGGGGGATGATATTGGCATAAGTTGTGCTGAGTTGTGGACCTTCATGAGTGATAAACAGAAGGGACTAATACCAGCTTTTGAGAGCTTGTTCCCAGAGGCAGAAAATAGATTTTGTGTTCAACACCTTCATAGCAACATGAAAAAGGATGGGTTTTTAGGTTTGGCAATAAAAAAGGAACTGTGGGCTGCTGCTAGATGTACTAGGGTGGAAGAGTTCAAAGCCAGAATGGAGAAGTTAAAGGCTGTTGATCCTAAGGCATATGAGTGGCTAGTGAACAAGCCTCCAAATCAGTGGTCAAGAGCTCACTTTAGTTTAACACCTAAATGTGATATCTTGACCAATAACATGTGTGAGAGCTTCAATTCACTTATTCTGTCAGCTAGAGAAAAAAACATCATTGGGCTGCTTGATACAGTGAGAAACATCATGATGGCAAGGATGCATACCAACAGGGAACAAGCCAAGAAATGGGATGGTGTTATTTGTCCTAGGATAAAAATGATTTTGGATGGGAACATGAAGAAGGCAGGAGAACTCATCCCTATGAGGTCTGATGAGTGGAATTTTCAAATCATGGGGCCATTTGAACAGCATACTGTTGATGTTCTTGGAAGATCTTGTTCTTGTAGAAAGTAGGAATTGACTGGACTCCCATGTAAGCATGCTATTTCTGCCATTTGGTGTAGAAAAGAAGAACCAGGGTGGTATGTTCACCAGTTGTACTCTGTTGAAACATATAAAAAGGCATATGAACTGTCAATATTAGGGATAAATGGTCCTGATTTGTGGTCTAAGGTTGATCTTCCACAACCTATCCCTCCTGCAATTGTGAAGAGAGCTGGAAGGCCTAAGAAGGTAAGGAGAAGACATCCAACTGAGCCACCAAGTGCATTGCCTCATAATCCCATGAGATTGAAGAAGCATCAGAGGAGTGTGACTTGTAGAGTTTGTGGACAACTTGGTCACAATGCTAGAAAGCATAAGAAGGTTGACCAAAATGAAGAACAAGAGGATGTCCCACTGAGTGAATCTCAGCCTCCACCAGATAGTGGCCATGTTTTCTCAAGTCAGTCCCTTGTACCAACACCTCCAAACAACAACAATGCTGCTGAAGCTAGCAAAAATAGGGTAATTTATCATTTTTTTGGTTTGATTGTACCTCATTTACTATGTCTAATACTCTTTGATTTAAACTTGTTATATATTCACATACATACTATGTCTATGTTTTATAGTCTCAAGAAAAGAGCAGAACAACTAGGAAGAGAAAAAGAGCTGAGTTGGATGGAAATGGGTCTGAGAATCAAGGACAGAATGTCAATGTAAGTTATTGTGTTATTATCATTATATTTTGTTCCTATTTGTTTATAGAACTGTGAAATTAGTTCAGTTGGATTTGAATGTGAGTTATTTGTTCCTTAACAGTGTCATTATTTGTTCCTATTTGTTTATAGAATTGTGAAATTAGTTCAGTTGGATTTGAATGTGAGTTATTTGTTCCTTAACAGTGTCATTATTTGTTCCTATTTGTTTATACAAATGCAGGTTACACAATGTGAGGGAGTCAGTTGTCCAGTTGTGGTGAAAGGAGGTGTGAATTACATAACAGTGTCCAACATCAGAGCTGCCTTGAGGACAAAGAATAGGACAGCTCCTGGTAAGGACAAGGCTGCAAACAAATGACTGTGGATTTGGGTTGGTTTGATTGTGTTGTTTGACTTTGGATTTATTTTGGTTTGATTGTGTTGTAATGGGATAATGAGTTCTTTGGTGATTTTTGGGATTATGGTTTGAGTGTGGATGTGTGTTTATGATGAACAAGGCTTGTGGATTGTGTTCTTTTGGTGATTGTGGTTTGAACAGGTTGTGTATTGTGTTCTTTTGGTGATTTTGGTCTGAACAATGTTGTGTATTGTGTTCTTTAGGTGATTGATTTGGAAAATGGATTTATGAGGATTGTGGTTTGAACAATGGTTATGATGTTGTTTTGGTGATTTTGGTGAACAAGACTTTCGATTGTTATTCATTTGCATTTGGGATACTAGATCAATTGAATGGAAATGATGAGTTCATTGACTTGGAAAATGATTTGCATATACTAATTTTGGCTATTTAGTACATAGAACACAACAACTACAACTAGAAAGAAGACTCCTAGTTTTACAATGAAATTTTTCTTTTCATTTTTCAATACATCTAGTTGTTTTTCCATAGTAATCCTCTTGCTATTGGCTTCCCTCAATTCAGCTTCCAGTTTCCTTTCTCTTATCATGAAATCATTGAGCTCATCCTCAAGGTTGTTCAATTTTGAAAGCAGTCCGGGTATTATTTGTTTGGAACGAGCACACATTTCCGAATCTAGCCACTTGTAAAATCCACAAAATTCTCTTGTCTGCAAGAGAGAAAAACACAATCATAAATTTTGTTATAAATATAATAATTAAAAAATCAAAATAATACCCCGTAATTTGGGCATGCCCAATATCTTCTTCCGGGATTGTTTTTTGTCCAAGATGTCTTGAATGGAAGCTCTTCTTCACTACACCGACATTTTTGGACTGGAAAATTATTAGTCCAAGAACTACTGCTTGAACTAGAAGAAAAACCATGCCTTCTCATTTTTTCGATTTTTTTTTGAATTTTTTGGATCTTTTTTTTTTTTTATTTTTTATTTTNAGATAGAGTATGGGGTGTGATGGTGGTGGCGGGATACTCCTGTGGCGACTGTGGGTCGGTGGGCTCCGGCGATGACGGGATGATCCGGCGGCGGTGGGTCATTGTGGGGTGAATCGTATGCTGTGTGTGTGTATCCGTGTATGTGTGTGTGTGAGTAGTGTGTGTGCAGTGTGTGAGCGTGAGATAGGTAGTGTGTGTGTGTGTGTGTGACAACTATGATGATTGGATTGTTAGTGGGGGTGGGACCCACTTATATAGTGGATGATTGATTGGTGAGGAAAATGTCCATAATACCTCTAGTGAATGGTAAAAAAAAATGATTTATTTTGACTGTTGAATCATCTGATCCGATGACTACAATGCATTCTTAGATCCCGTTCGAAATTTGGCTACGAGGGACATCGAAATTTGGTCGGTGGAGACGGATTAAGATGAGAATGGGTGTCACGACATGATACAACTCAATAAGAAAATGCAATTATTACACGAGACGTTACATAAGAAAACAAGAAAAAAAAAAAAGAATAGTTAAATATTAATTTACTATTGTATTTAAGATAAAATGAAATAGTTAACACGTAAGCACGACCCAATAATACAACACAATAAATTAACAAAAAGAAAAAACGATAAATTTATACCTATTTTATTCATTTCATCAAGAACTTTTTAAAAATTTGATTATCGTTATTGATTGAATTAAAAAAATGAAATAATTACCCCTCCATTACTTTAGTTATAGTCATAATAACGAGAACAAGTTTCTAACTCCTTTATGATATTAATCGTTCCAGTAACACGAAATTAAACTCTTTTATATTCCACAAACATATTTTAATTATATTTCATAAATAAAACCCTCCTTTTCTCTTAACTCTTGACCATTTCCTTTTCTTCTTCCTTCCAATTGATCGGCATCACACACAAAAATATATAAACCACCATAAATAAAAATTTGGACCCAAATCTTCTTTTAATTATTGATTCTCGCGAAGGCACACCTCGCCTCTTGAAAACAATTGACAAATTATGACGGCGGTGACTCGAATTTGGGGATCGAAAACCGGTGGTGACGCGACATGACTTCATCATCCAATCGTAGATAATGAGGCAGCGATTCGAGCCGCGGGTCAACTATCGGGTGTTCTCTGGCGATTGCAGGTCCGACACTACACCCGACGACGAACAGTGAAGCAACCGATGTCGATTTGGAAAAACGGCTACTCATGAGGGACGCGATGTGGGCGACTATTGTCAAGTCTCGGCGCACGTGTGCGACTATTGTCAAGCCTCAGAGCACATAAAGTCAGAAACAAGTATCTGATAAGGTTTACTCTCTGAATTCAGATCTGTTTTAGAGCACAAAAAACGACCAATGTCGATTTACTATCTTTTCATGGCTTTATTTTTGGCCAATTATAATAGTGCTATTCGATTTACTTATGGATTATGAGTAACTTATTGTATGCATCATTTTATAATAGCACGTGTTTTGATAATATGATGACAAAATCTTGGGTGAATTTCTAGTTTTTTCTTGGTTTACTCTGTTACTGGCATATTGCATATACGAGTAAGTAGATAGGTTGTATGAAATAAAGATTGGAATAAACTTCTCTTTGTAATGAAATATCAGTAGTTTATTTACGGTTTATGAATGGTATTTTTTATTTTTTATTTTTTATTTTTTTTTCTGAAGTGCCTATGTGAGCTATGTGATTTTGTTTGGTGAAATTGGACGTTGAGTATTTTAATGAATGAACTTCTCTTTCGTGCGCTTTGTACAGGTACATTGTTCGTTTTTGTCTTCTTTGCAGTTCACTCGTACTATTACCATAAACCCACATGATTTGCAATGATGTCACATTCTGCAATTTATGTTGCCCTTTTCCTTTCATGAATTTCTCAACACTTTCAACAAACTAATTTACTATTCACCGCCCTCCTATTACTACTTACCGCCCCCCTT